GTAATAGGATATCTTGCAAGCTCTAATGTATTTGTCTGTTATCACACTGCTAATAGTGACATACCTGGGACTGGGTAATCTATAAAGGAAAAAGGTTTAATTGACTGACAGTTTCACAATGCTGGGGAGGCCTCACAATCATGGCAAAAAGTAAAGGAGGAGCAAATTCATGTCTTACATGGTGGCAGGTGAGAGAGCTTGTATAGGAAAACTCCCCTTTATCAAACCATCAGCTCTCATGAGACTTATTCACTGTCATGAGAACAGCACAGGAAAAACCTGCCCCCATGATTCAATTAACACTCATTGGTTCCCTTCCACAACACATGGGAATTATGGGAACTGCAAATCAAGATGAGATTTGAGTGGAGACACAAACCATCTCATTCTGCTCCAGCCCCTCCCAAATTTCATGTTCTTGCATTTCAAAACCAATCATGCCTTCCCAACAGTCCCCCAAAATCTTAACTAATTTCAGAATTAACTCAAAATTCCACAGTTTCATATAAGACAAGGCAAATCCCTTCCACCTGTGAACATGTAAAATGAAAAGCAAGTTAGTTACTTCTTAGACACAATGGGGGTATAGGCATTGGGTAAATATACCCATTCCAAATGGGAGAATTTGGCTAAAACAAAGTGGCTACAGGTCCCATGCAAGCCTGAAATCCAGTGGGTGGTCCTTAAACTGACTTTGTGTCTCACATCCAGGTTACGCTGATGCAAGAGGTGGGCTCCCATGGCCTCAGGCAGCTCTGCCCTCATGGCTTTGCAGGGGATAGGCTCCCTCCAGGCTGCTTTCACGGTTGGTGTTGAGTGTCTGTGGCTTTTCCCAGGTGCACGGTGCAATCTGTTGGTAGATCCACCATTCTGAGGTCTGGAGGATGGTGGCCCTCTTCTCAGCTCCACTACACAGTGCTTCAGTAGCGACTTGATGTTTGGGCTTGCACCCCACATTTCCCTTCTTCACTGTCCTAGCAGAGGTTCTCCCTGATGGCTCTTCCCCAGCAGCAAGCTTCTGCCTGGACAACCAGGCACTCCCATACAGTCTATGAAATGTAGACAGAAGTTCCCAAACCTCAATTCTTGACTTCTGTGCACCCATAGTCCCAATACTACGTGTAAACTGCTAAGGCTTGAGGCTTGCACCCTATGAAGAAAGAGCCTGAGCTGTACATTGGCTCTTTTTAGCCATGGGTGGAGCTGAAGCACCTGGGATACAAAGCACCATGTCCTGAGGTTGCATAGACCAGGGAGGCCCTGAGCCTGGCCCAGGAAACCATTTTTCTTGCCTAGGCCTCCTAGCTTGTGATGGGAGGGACTGCTATGAAGGTCTCTGACATGCCCTGGAGACATTTTGCCCATCATCTTGGTGATGGGGGAACATTTGGCTCCTGGTTACTTATGCAAATTTCTGCAGCTGGCTTAAGTTTCTCCCCAGAAAATGAGTTTTTCTTTTCTACTGCTTCATCAGGCTGAAAATTTTCTAAACTTTTATGCTCTGTTACCTCTCAAGTGCTTTGCTGCTAAGAAATTTCTTCTGCCAGATACCCTAAATCATCTCTCTCAAGTTCAAAGTTCCACAGAACTTTAGGTCAGGGGCAAACCCTACACCAGCCTCTCTGCAAGAGCCATCTTTACTCCAGTTCCCAACAAGCTCCCCATTTCACTATCAGCATTTTGGTCAAAGCCATTTAATAAGTCTTGAGGAAGTTCCAAACCTTCCCATATCTTCCTGTCTTCCTCTGAGCCTTCCAAACTGTTTCACCCTCTGCTTGTTACCCAGTTCCAAAGTTGCTTTCACATTTTCGGCTATCTTTACAGCAGCATCCTGCTCCACTGGTACCAATTTACTGTATTAATCTGTTCTCACGCTGCTAATAAAGACACACCTGAGACTGGATCATTTACAAAGCAAAGAGGTTTCATTGACTCACAGTTCCACATTGCTGGGGAGGCCTCACAATTGTGATGCAAGGCGAATGAGGAGCAAAACTGTGTCTTACATGGTGGCAGGTGAGAGATCTTGTGTAGGGGAACTCCCCTTTATAAAACCATCAGATCTTGTGAGACTTATTCAGTATCAAAACTCTCCTTGTCTTCTATTTCTTATATGTATATGCCAGCTGCTTTGTTTTCTCACATAATCCTGGTGAAGAGAGGCTAAAAATACATCTTCTCTTGTCCAAATGCATTTATATCTCTAATCTTGCTTTGTTTCTAGAAATGGCATTTTTTTTAAACCATCTAAATATATGGAATACATTTACACATTGAGATGTGTCTGGTCACACATCTCCTTGTCTGCATTCCTCCCTGGAATGTAAACTTTGTGAGGATATGGACTTTGCCCATTTTGTCTTTTTTTTCATTTACTTTCCTTTTTAAAATTGATATATAATATTTACACACATTTATGGTATACATGTAGATGGTATTTTGATAAATGCATGTGATGTGTAATAATCAAATCATGTTATTCAGGATATCCATCACCTTGAACATTTATCATTTCTTTGTATAGGAAACATTTCAAATTTTCTCTTCTAGTTATCTGGAAATATATAACACATTGTTGTTAACTACCATCACCTTACCATACTAACGAACACTAAAACGTATTCCTTTTATCTAACTGTATATTTATATTCATTAACCAAACTTTCTTCATCACATTCCCTGTTCCAACACCCTTCCCAGCCTCTAGTAATCATCATTCGACTCTCTACCTCCATGCAAAGAAAAGGGAATTCTTACACACTGTTGGTAGGAATGTAAATTATAATGTAAACAATATGGAAGTTTCTCAAAAAACTAAAAATAGAACTATCACATGAACCAGCAATCTCACTACTAGGTAAATTTACAAAGAAAAGGAAATCAATATGTTGAAGAGAAAGAGATACCTGCACTCTTATGTTTATGCAGCACAATTCACGATAGCCAAGATATGGAATCAACCTAAGTATCCATCAGTGGATGAATAGATAAAGAAAATGTGGCACATATACACAATAGAATCCCATTTTGTTTGTTTGATTCACTTTTTAGTGCCTAAAAGCTTGAGAGATTTGGAGATTACTTGCAAGAATTGGGAGCTTAATAAATATTTTCTTCATGAATTATAAAATCAATTTTTATGTTTCTTACAAGTGGTGTAGAAGAGTGATGTGACTATTAAACTATATTTTTAAACAGCTTTATCAAGATATAATTGACATAAAATTACATATATTTCAGACATACAAATTGACATTTAGATATACATATACTTTGTGGAATGATCACTACAATCAGGCTAGTTAACACATCTATTACTTTTACATTGTTACCATTGTGTGTGTATATATGTGTGTGTTTGTGTGTGTGCGCATGTGTGTGGGGGAACAAGATATCCCCTCAGCAAATTACAATATCCATACAGTATTGTTAACTGTCATCATTATGCTGTACTGTAGATATCCAAAAATTATTTATCTATTGTTAGGTTACTGAAAAATGACCATGTTTAGCGACTTTTCTTCAACTTGGTTTTGATCTCAAATTGTGAATTGAAGTTTCACCTAGGACCTTTGATGCTGAAACTTAGAAAGTTCAGCTTGAATCATGCAATTATTAAGATCTTAAAGTCTTAAGATGACTTTGTGTAAATCATGCTAATCTTAGATCATATTTTTGGCATTTTTAATATCATATTTCATCTTTTATTTACAGATGTGCCAGATAGTGGAGTCTTAGAATAAAAGAATCATATTTGTTTTATTTTTGAATAAGTTTGCTGTAGCACAGGCTTAGTACTTAATATTTACCAAATGAGTAAATGAATGAATGAATGTAGTATACAAAAGCATACATAGTTGAACATAATTTTTTTGTTTTATTCTCTAACTTGGAAATTATAATACTTATTTAATCAAGAACCCTCTTAAACATCTATGCAGTGTAAATACAACTAGACTTGGAGTCTAGTTTTTTCCGTCTTACTATCCTAAGTCTGTCCTTAATTTTCAATTTTGTATTTTTACTAAGTCACTTAGCAACCTTAGGCCATAATTTCTTCGTGGGAGTACCCCCATGATACTAATTACCTCAAAAAATGTAGAAATAAAAGGGAGTATCAAACTGTTTTTTAAAAGCTTAGACATATGCTGTGAACTGTAATAAACATTATATTATTTTAAATAATTTTTATATTTTTAAAATTATTTGAGCCTTACTTAAGAAAAGTAAGTAGTCTATATAATGGTGACATACTACTGTCTCCCTTCCTGCTTAATGAGGTAATGTATGCATCTGGTTCATAATAAAGACTCAATAAATGGTAGTTGTCATTGTTGTATTAACTATTTTATAGCCTGCCCATCCAAACTTGAAATTACATTTCTTTCTTCACTCAGTCGTCATTTCAAAAGAAGAATTTTCTTTTTAAATATGGTAGGTATTCACACATTTCTTTTCATCTCAAAGGAAATAAACAACTTCCTTTCAGAATATTATAAAACCCTGAGTACATCTTTTTAATGAAAACTCCATTAACTTCCTACAACATACTAAATACCCCTTCTCATTCTTTGGAATCAAATTCCACATAAAATCTAGGGTCCTCTTCTTATAACTCCATTTTCTTAGAACTCTCTTTCATCCAAAGTTATCTTTGGCCCTTTCAGTGGGGAATGCAAAGGAGGTGTGATACTTTTCTTTGCAGAGCTAGTGACTAACTGAAGGGAAAAAGAAGGTCATTTAGCAGTAGATAATCAATACAAAAAGCATCAATTATTTTAATGTTCAGCTTCTTGTTCTGATATTTTAATAGAAAAAAGTTTTAACCAAACACCTTAATCACAGAGTAGAAGGCCAAATGCCATAGTGGAAACATGTTGCACTCATAACTATCATGTAATTCTACAAGGAGCTCAAAGGTTTACAGTATTCAATGGTTTTATATTCTGAGAACCTGAAGAACCCAAAAATGTATAGGAAGTAGTAAATTGCCTACTCACGAGGATATAACTCAAGGAATGTGGCCAAGTCTGTTGGCTTGGTGATGTTGCGCTGCTGAGTATGCTGGTCCGTTTCATACTGAACAAATAATCCAAATAAAACAATCATGAAAATTTCCAGGCCTATGGCTATGAGAGGGAATTTGAACCTCATGTTTGTGGCAAAGGACAGAGGCACACTGAGAGCTTCACAGGCTGTGAGATGTTGATAAGAACAAAGGACTGCTCTGTGTGCAGAATTTTACTGCATGCTCAAGGAACCCCGATGACATCACAAGAAAAAAAATGGGCAAGACGGTTAAAATGCTCCACCCACTGGGGAAAATTATGCTCTGTAATCTAATAGTTATTCTAAGTGTTGATTTGAAGAATATGCAATGAAGTTGTGAGAAGCTGGGTGATGCCAATGATCTATCGGATAGGTCTCTAGAATCATGTTTAACTCAGTTTAGTAGACATTTCTTGAGGGCTTATTGTATGCCAAACATTGTGGTAGGCTTCGTAGAAGCCATGAATTTAAAGAAAAAGATAGAATTGGTCTATTAACTTCTTGAGGAAATTAAGGATCTAGTTGGAAAAACATAAATATAAGCAAATGATTATAAAAAAACGTATAAGTGATATAATAGTGGTTATGAAAGTATTAGGAAACGTAAATAAGGCAGTGATACTTTTTGCCTTAGGCCAAGAACATTAGCATATAAAATAATATCGATGTAAGAACTAAAAAATTAACAGGGTTTTGCAAGTGAAACAGATGGAGGAAATGGTATAAAGCTTGGGAGAACATGGCATGTTTTGGAAATGGCCATTAGTCAAGCAAAGCTGGAACCTAAAAGAGATGAGGAGGAAAGAAGGAAGTGGCAGAGATAATGTTGTAATGGAGGTGGCCGTGTTGTAAAGTCCCTCACATTCAATATTGAAGATGCTAGATGTTAAATCTTATCCCATGAGCAATGAGGAATATATAGGACTGCAAGGGGAAGTTTTGTTTATTTATGAAGTTTTTCTTGACTCCTTACTCTGATTTGCACAACTGTAAATAAGGAAGTACCCAAATGGGTTGTGATATATGTTTTAGTCTTAAACAGAAAGAGACTGAACTTAAACAGGAACGTAACTAATCTATCATCCTGATAGATAGTTAAGTGTAAATAAGATGCAAAGCAATTTAAAACTATCATATGGGTGGAGGAATTCTTGTCTCCACTATGGAATTGTTCTCATGGCAGAATAAACCTGTTTTTGAGAACCAAGAGTTACCAGTTAAATAAAATTTCTTTCATGAAGCCCAATTTCCAAAATATTCTATGCAGAATTTGGAGAGAGCGTGCAAATGACTGCCAGGCCAAAGTCTACATTATAACAAATATTTATAAAACAAAGCACCAGGATTTTTTGGTCTTTCTGGTATGATTTTCCACAGTAGAATGTGATATGTTAGGAATAAACAATCTCTGAAATTCTATAAATATACAAACACTTTGAAAAAAAGCGACTATTTCCATTATTCCTTATAGCATAGCACAAGAGGAGTGGGTTCACATGCTTAGCTATAAAAATACATTTGTACATCACACACTTTAATTTTTGGTTTTGCAGTACCCTAAAGAGTGTTCCAACGAATCCTCGATGCAAAGTATTTGCATTAATAAACTATATATAAATTTGTGAAAACCAAGTATCAAATTATAAATTGCAAGAATATCTAAACAATATCACAAATCAATATGGTTTTAAATTCTTTAATAAAAAGTGACACCATATATTAAATAACCCAAGACCTGTGGCCTCTCTTCTTCTCTGGGACATATTCAGCAGCTCAGCAACTTCTCAACGCATGGAGAGTAGAGGATTCTATTCATACAGGTGATGGTACTACGCTAGGACTTTGAGGAGTTCAGGTTTGTTGTCTTCTTATGAATTTAGGCCCTCGCATTGAAATACGCTGCATCATGTGCCATCTGGGAAAATATTTCTCTTGTTCAGTTCTTCACATAAGCTGCTCTTTCTAATTGGAACTTTTCCCACATACTCTCTGCCCCCAACCCTCTATACATCATCCATCATTCTTCAGTTTTCAGATAAAATGTTACTTTCTCAGAAAAGCCTACCTTGATCTCCCATCTTAAACCAGGTTTTCACTGTTATCTCTCATTGAATTGTGGTCTTTTTTTTGCATTTAGTATAGTTGGCTGTCTGCTGTGTGTGCTATATTTATGTAGCGTTTTTATTTACATGTTATTTTTAAGAATGGTTGTTTCCCCTTACTGACCTGCTAGCTCCACAAGAACAGGGGTGGTGTCTTTTTTGCACCTAATTTGTTATCTAGAGTGAATAATATCATGTCTAGCACAATATACAATTGATAAACATCATTTGAGTGAATTGAATATAGGGCAGACTTGAAGGGAGAAACACTCAGCAGGCAGGCCAGCAGTGTGAGGAAGGGAGAGGGGGACAGCTTTACTCTAATACATTTCATTTTAAATTCTAAATATGTAGAATCCGGACAGTAGCTTTCATACTGCTGTCTACTCTCAGTATTTCAGTCAGTGAGGGCTTATCATCAGGTTCTCTGTGTCTGGAACAAAAGGGAGGATGAAGCCCAAGCCATGAAGCTTGGGAAGGTCAAATTCCTGGTGCAGACCAACACATGGTAGTGTGAACCTGAAGATTTAAAAAAATCTCTCTCATGACAGTTCTGAATCACAAAGACAATTGGCTGAGGGTGTGTGTGTCCTAAAGTGGAAATGATTTATCTGTTGCCTTGTCTGTTTAGGAAACTATAGAGATGGCTTTCTTCTAGTGTCTTCAGTAAATGAGGTAAAATCGGAAAGAATCATGAATGGGTAAGCCATGTCCTCATGCACACCAAACCAAACAAAAAACACGCACCATGCAAATGAACCTTCAAGTTCCCACCTAAATACATAGATAGAAATGAAGTATTCCTGGGTTAATATAGGAGCCAGTGGGTTACATGGGATCTTCAACTTGTTGATCCTCAACCTGCTCTGTGACTTTAGAAAAGAAACAATTTCTTTATTTTCTGAAGATATGTAAAATGTAGCTAATTGTTATTATTAGAAATTTTAATTTGAGTTTGTTTATATTTTTAATAGCAAAGAATAATTGAAACTGGACCACCACTGCTTGTTAAATTGTCTCTTTCTACCTTCGTTTATCTGTAATGGTTGTGGAAGGTGGGAGGTATTTAGGAAGAAGGTACTAAATACTTTCAGCATTTTCTGTTCTGGACAGTGTTAGGTGCCTATTTACCCACCTTGTTTAGTCCCACTGCAATTTGATGTATTTTTGTACTTTGCAAACATAGCTTGCTCCATTGATTTATATATGTAGCTACCTAAGTGCTCAACTGCTAGACTGGTACAAGGTCCAGTGACCCCCTTTTGGTGCTTCTTTAATGTTTTCCTTCCAAAAAGAGACCTTGGGTTTTCTTTACTCTGATGGATGGCCACTCCAACTTCTCTTCCCAAGTGGGGAGCAGACAGAAAAATTTCTTGCTGCCATATGGGAACTGGTGAAAAAAGGTCTTTCTCTCCACAAAGGCTCTTTGCACCTTCTTGGGGTCTATGGTGGATGGCCTTCCCCAGGGCTGTGTCTCCAGCTACTCAGTTGCACTCAGCATTATTTCACAGAACACTGGAACTGAGCAGGGTTACAGGACCAGAGAAATCAGCACCAGCATCTCCAAAGCAGCTGCCCAAGGCTTTGGAACTTGTCTTAAGCTAGGAACTCAACATTTTTGGGCTATGGACACTTTTGGCACAAGTCTCGGAATCCCACATCAAAATATATTTTAAATGTACAAAATAAAATACATAGGATTACTAAGGAAACCAGTTATATTGAAGTATACCAATCAAAATTCTGTAATATAAAATAAGCACCTTAACCCAACTATCAGATATAGGTGCTTCTCTATAATGGATGAAATAACAACATATAGTAGCATGTCTAATAATGAGCATAATTTCCAAGTTGGAGTAATGAGTGTAAATAATATTTTGAGATATCTGAAGCAAGTAAAATAGAAGATATTATTTGTAATTTCTATTAGTGACAGTTATCAACACTATTAATGATACTGTTGTTTATTTTCCTCATTCACAATAGGAAAAATATTAAATTTCAGTTAAATGCACTCATGGTTCCCTATTTAAACATATGGACCATCTGAATTCTATTTATAGAACCCCAGGTTAAAAATGTCTGTTTTAACTATGGCCAACAGCTTTATTTTTGCTTTTTCTTCAGTCTCAGGAGGCTTCCTATCAATTCTTGACATATCAGTTTATGTCAATGAATTGTGTTAACTCTGAATTCCAAGGAGATGTTAAAGAATATTGGTTAAAATCTTCTCAGGAGACCCCGTATTCTTTAGACAAGTTGACTTTTCACCTTTCATTTGATTAACTTTGCAGAAGAGCTAGAGGGCCTCTGAAGTGATCTTTAGCAAAGACAACAAAACTAACTTCTTCAAGTTAAAAGAGAACTCTACGGACAAATGATAAGCTTGAGGCTCAGTTTCAGCAACTTGCTCAAAGTTGTACAGCAAGTAGATGACAGAGTCAGAATGAATACAGATTTGCCCAATTTCCTAAATTTAGCTTCTTTCTGCTAGGCCATATTGTTTTTCATTTTTTAAACCAGTATTTATTTATTTATATGGCTATGTAATTACATGTAGCAAAATATCATGTATACCCCATATTGTTTTTCTATGTGACATAACTTATGTTGACACTGATCTCAAGGTACTGACGATATCAAAGAAGCTTCTGAAACATAAAAAAGGGATTAAAAATTTTACAACTATTTTCTATTTAGTTTTTAATTTTACTTTCACTTGGAAAGTGCTATCAAATTAAGATATCGACTTTTCTACTTAGCACTCTATTTCTCAACTGGGAGAGATGGGGATTATAGGGAACTTTTGTGTGTCTACTTTTAGTTATTCAATAGATACTCCCAAACTTAGGCTTAATCACAGAATTCTAAAATTGACATGAATTTCAAACTTTACAGACTGAGAAAAAATTTATGTATGTACTTTTAAATTTGAGAATACTGAAACTACATCTCTTTTCTGTTGGGAACTGTTGTATGTACATATGTATATGATATATAAGATGTGTTACATATTTAAATGTAATTACATATAATTATATGTACCTATATATATAGTTTTTCTGCTGGAAAGAGATTCACTCTTTACCTCCATGTGCATATTAAATGGACAATTGTCATCAACCAAAGATCAGGCACAAAGTATTTTCAAATATGATCATCACCATGTGTAAGTGTTGAGCTAGAATTTACATTCTGTAAAGACATTCCCTTTTTTTGGGGTTACTCTTTGCTATTTACACTTCCAGGATTTTCACAATGAGACATCTTACCTGTAGCAAGGGTGAACAGAGCCTTAAAAGTGTCAGGATTGTTGCTGAAGGTGAGTGCTTCATTAAGTACATGGCTAAGATTTCCTTCTCTCTTTTCTTTCATCTTGGACTGTTACTGTTAAATTGAAGAAATGGATTTTCTGTGTAGCATACCTATTGCTTTCCTGCTTTGAAAATGAGGATAATTGCCTGATAACTCAGCTGGATGATTTATATTACTTGTTAAAAAAAATTCTGGGTTTAAGAATTAGAATGTCTAGACCACAGTTTTTACACAATTATTTATCTCTTCATCCGTTAGATTTGAGCATCATGAGGAAAGCCAACTATTTTATTCATGTATTTTTATTACTGGCTTGACTCACTGTGGGAAATAATTTTTTAATTTTAATTTTTGAAAACAACTTTATTGATATATAATTCATACACCATACAATTCACCCATTTGAAGCATAGAATTCAGTGTTTTTTGGTATATCCACAGATACATTTAACCATCACCACAGTACATTAAAAAAATTCTCATGTATTTGTTAGGCATCTGTACTTCTTTTATGAATTACATGTTTGTAGATTTTGCCCATTTGCAATCTTAGAGTCTTTTTTTCCCCAACATTTATTTTAGGTTCAAGGGGTGCATGTTCAGGTTTTTTTATGTGCATAAGTTGCATGTCATAGGGGTTTGGTGTACAGATAATTTTGTCAACACAGGTAATCAGCAGAGTACTTGATAGGTAGTTTTTCAGTCCTCACCCTCCTCCCACCCTCCACCTTCAAATAGACCTTGGCATCTAGTGTTCCCTTCTTTGTATCCATGTGTAGTCAATATTTAGCTCCAACTTACAAGTGAGAACCATGTGGTATTTGGTTTTCTGTTCCTGTATTAATTCACTTAGGATAATGGTCTCCAGCTGCATCCATGTTGCTGCAAAGAACATAATTTTATCCCTCTTTATGGCTGTGTAGTATTTCATGATGTATATTTGCCATATTTTCTTTATGCCTTCCACCATTTATGGGCATCTAGGTTGATTCTATGTTTCTGCTATTACCACAGTCAATTTTAGACATTTTCATCGCCTCAAAAAATCCCATATTCTTTATCAATTCCTACACCCCTTTCCTAGCCCAAAGCAACCACAAATCTATCCTTTCTCTATCGATTCCCTTATTCTGGACTATCATATGAGTGGAATTATATAGTATGAGGTCATTTGTGATGGGCTGCTTTTACTTAGCCTAATGTTTTCAAGGTCTATCCATTTGTAGCACCTATCAGTACTTCATTACTTTTCATAGCCAAATAATATTTCATTATATGGCTATAACACATTTGTTTATTAATCTTTTGTGGCAGACATTAGAATTATTCTAAACCTTTGGGTATTATAAGTAATGCTGATAGGAACATTCATGTATAAGTTTTTGTTGTGGACACATGTTTTCATTTCTTGAATATATAATAAGTAGAATGGCTGGATCTTATGGTAAGTTGACAATTAATCATTTGAAAAACTGCTGACAATTTTCCAAAGTAACTTTTATCTTCATATTCTCACCAGAAATGTATAAGGATTATGATTTCTTCACATCCTCACCAATACTTGAGTTTTTAATTTTAATTCTAGCTATCCTAGTGGGTGTCAAGTGACGTGTTATTGTGGGTTTGATCTGAATTTCCCTGACAACTAATTATGTCAAGCATCTTTTGTGTGCTTTTGTCCATTTGTATAGTATGTCTTTCTTGATGAACTGTCTATTCAGATTCTTTGCTCGTTTTTTAAAAAAGGATTGTTGAATTTCACCAAACTAGGTTCTTATTAAGACTGTCACTAACTCATATACCATAAAGTAAATCTCTTCAACTGTCTTAGTCATCATTTTTCTCTTCCTTAATGTAGTAGTGAGGAGTCTTGCTTTGTCTGATTGTTGTAAGATTCAGTGAGAGAGTATATATAAAGGCACTTTATAAATTATGAAAAGATGAGAAACCTAAGTTATTAAAGAGAAGTAAGGTGGTAAATACATGGGGCAGTGTTTTGGAAAAAAATTAAAAACCTTTGTATAAGTACAATGAATTGTAAAAATGAAGAAATGCTAATTAAGTAATAAAGTCATCAAAATAGTTATAGCTCATGAACATTAGGAATCAAGCCAGGCACGATGGCTCACACCTTAATCCTAACACCTTGAGAGGCTGAGGTGACAGGATCGCTTGAGCCCAGTAGTTCGACTGGGCAACATATTGAGAGTCTGTCTCTGCAAGAAACAAAACAAAACCAAAAAGTGGTGGCACACACTTGTGGTCTTAGCTACTTAGGGGGCTGACGTGAGGACCACTTGGACCTGGGAGGTGGAGGCTGCAGTGAGCCGTGCTGGTATCACGGCACTCCAACCTGAGCAACAGAGTGAGACTCTGTCTCAAAAACCAGCCAAATAAACATCACTAACAACTACAAAACTCACAAAAAATGAAACAACAGACATTTTTAAATGTTTAATTTTTAAATAATTTCAGATTTATAGAAGAGTTGCAAAGGTAACAGAGAGTCTCTACTTGACCTTTGTTCACTTTCCTCTAGTGCTAACATCTAACATAATCATAGTATAAACATAAAAATCAGGAGATTAACATTGTTATAATACCATTATCTAAACGCCAGACTTTTCACCAGAATCCCTTTTCTGTTCCAGAGTCCAATTCTGGGTCCTACACTGCATTTGGTCACAAGTTCTTAGTCTCCTATATTTTATGACAGTTTCTCAACCTTTCCTTGTCTTTCACAATCTTGACTCTTTTGGAGAGTGTTAGTCAGATATATTGTAGAATACTCTTCACTTGGGGTTTGTCTGATATTTTCTCATAATTGGACTGGCGTTATACATTTTTGGGCTGAAGACTACAGAGGTAGAATGCCCTTCTCATCACATCATATAAGGGGGTACTTAATATAAATATGCGTTACTATTGGTGATGGTGACCATCAATCTTGATTACTTGGTCAAGGCAGAGAATTTTAATTTTAAAATATTCTCTCTGCACAGCCTTGCCGAGAGGATTATGTCCCAAACATATATTTCTAATTTTACTAATAATAAATGACGATGGTAACCATACACAAAATGAAATAAAGAACAAAAGAGGAGGAGCTAGAGGAGGAAGAGGTGGTAAGGGAGGAGACTGGAGGACAGAAACTTGCATGTGCGTTCCAGGGAGATCCCGCCTGATTGGTGTCCTGGCAGTTGGGCCTTTGAGAGTACACAGCTAAAGGGAAAGGGAAGTCACAGAAGCCAGGCATGGCCTCGAGCAATCTGCTTTGCAAAGATAAGGTTAGAACTGAAGGACTTCCCAGAAAATATGACAGATCTTCATTTCTTTTTTTTCTTCCAGAACTTGTTCTCATTCCCCACTATATTTTATCAGCACGCCTCAGCTTGCTGAGCCTTAGGCACAAATGTGTCTTCAGAGTAAGCCTTTGGTGGCATTTTTAACATCTACTGGCACCTGATACCTGCCAGGCTCTTTATACATGCTAACCATAATCCTTAAAACAGTGCAGCGAGATAAGGTTTTTAATTTTTTTCTCTTGTTGTCATTAGACAAATGGGAAAACTAAGACATGAAATGGCTGTTGAGGTCTAATGCCGTTTAGAAAATTCCAGTAGCCACATTAAAATGAAAGTCTGACTCTAAAACTGTCTCTTTTTTTTTCTTTAGCTAAATTGGTTTTGGTGTTGTACTACTGTATTTCAGGTATTACGTACATCCTAGAAAAAGTGCTTCTCTTAATAGAAATATAAATGATTACATATATATGTATACTTACATATATTTATAGTTTTAAGATAATAAAATCTACAGAACTACACAAAGTATTAATATCCACCCATTCACTCTTATGCTCCTGGCAAGAGTTTGATATTCATCTTTCTGGTCTCCCTCCATACATTTATACATAAGTATCTTTCATACACACATTTCTGATTTTATAATATCAACATTATAATACTTTAAAAACTTCACCATGTGTCTTGAATATCAGTTTTACCTTTTTAGTTAAGACGGTAAACATATTTCATGGTATAGATGGGTCACATGTATTGATATTTTGATAGAAAATCACTAAAGGTTTTTAATAGAGGATTACAACCTAATGAATAGAAACTGCATGCTGAAACTTGAGGCATTTTAACAAACAGGAAAGGGAGACGTTTAGGAGTATTTTGGAGCATTCCATATAGATCAATGCTTAGGGTCTCAGACCTAGAATCCAGTCTGCCTAGTTCCCTATCTTAACTACGGTGTTGACTTGATATGTGAATCTGGGCAAGTCACGAATTCTGTAATTGATTTTATTCCCTAAAACATGGGAATAATAATGACTTCATAGAGTCATAATGAAGTCACAGTAAGGATCATGTTACTCAGTAAAAAATTGTGAACAAAGCCTGAGACATAACTCAGTAAGTGCAACTATTACTTTTATATTGTCATTTTTGGCTACCCACATCCAAGACTCTTTCTATTTTGAAGGAATTTTAAAATAAAAGTTTTGTTTTCTACTGTTGAGTCTCACATTGGGGTAGATATTTCTAATCCTCACCCCCTGCCATTTGCCAAGTTAGTCTATAACTTCGGCTTGGTCAATTGGATTCTCATATAGAGAATTTTGAAGGCAGTTATGCAGAATGCATGGGAATTGAAAACTTGGGTGATGTTTGTGACAGCAGTAGTAGCATTTTGTAAACTATAATATTCCTATGGTATTCTTTGCCTGTGACATTAGCTTGCTTTGGAGGGACCTGTTTCTTGACTTTGGGTTTTGAGCCTTCAATTGATTTTGTGAGCCTCCTGGTACCTTCTCAACAAATGCCATTTTCTTCGTAGAGAAGATTTGATTTCTGTAGTTTGTAACTAAGAAACCTGGTGATTCAGCATCATCTCTGTACTTTGTAATCTCACTATTCAAAACATTTATTGAGGACTTCCACTGTACTGGAAAAAAAGCTACAGCATGTGATATTGCTCCTCCTTAACAAATTCAGAGAGGTTAAATTTAGGGTGTTTTTGCATGTCAGAATCAAGAGATTGTTTATCTACAAACACATACTTCTGGAGAAAAACAAAGTAATGTTAAGAGAAATAATAAATTTTGCCTATTAATGTTTTTTAAAAAGTTTTTTGAATTCAGTAGTTTTGTTTCATAATCATTTTGCATGTAGGAAGAGCAAATTAGTTAGTAGGTATTATCCAGGTGTAATAACTGCAATTTCTGGTTTTGGTTGAATTTCTGTAGAAATTCCCTGTCGAACTGCCATTGGATTATTCTTACGGCTAGAATAGTCTGTCAGTTTACAGTGGCTTCTGCTGACACAATGCAACAGCTTAAGACTCTTTCCCTTTACCTGACTCAAACCCAATTTCTCAGCTACTGAAAAGAAGCCTCTGAGTTTTACGTGAAAAAGTGGTATGAATTTATCCATTTTTCTTCCTCGACTCTTTGCCATAAAGATCACTTCCTTTAGAGTTTTTATGGCCATTTAATGCTTCCCTGTACTCTTATTATAAAACAGATTTTATCCATGCCCAAATATTTGAATGAAAGAAGTCAACACAGTGGTTGATTTGCTCTGGTTCCCACAATCTGTAAGACTGGCTCTAATCACAGGGTGAAAATTATACCAGTGATCAATTTGATTATAATTTTTGGGTGGTAGGATTATGGATAATCATAAATGTGATTTTTATATTTTTATATTTTCAAGTTTTCTTAAACTTATATACATTATTTTTATAGTAATGAAGACACTATAAATAAACATGTAGAAACATTGATATGTTAGAAGAACCAGTAGGGATATAAAAAGTAGCTAAAATTTTTGCAAACTCTAACTCAAAAGGACATTTTATTTCTCATGAGTGGTAAAAATGAAAGGTCTTGAAACTTAAATCCTGAAGTCACATAAAAATACTTAAAGATCTTTCTCTGCCTTCTTTAGCCCAGGGATCTGCCTAACTTTGGAACAGCTCCATGGTTTGCAGTACACATTGATTCATCATCTCAATTAACAGTGTACCTATTATACCTCTAGGCAAACACATGAAATTGCTCTTTAATATTTAGGTTTGTGGATACACAACATATTGTGTTTCTTGAACTGAGAGAAAACAGATTGTTTTAAGTTAATAAATACATTTATGGCAAACCACCTTTAGTTGCAAGTCGCAGTGTGACTGAATCATTATTAATACAACAATGGAAGGTATTGACCGCTATTTAGGCAAATAGGAGTATCAACAAAATGCAAGGCGTTTTTAAATTTTAAGTAAACAGATCTCTATATCTGCCTTTTAGCTACTGTGAAAGAGAGGGCCAACTACTTGGAAAAGAAATACAAGGGCCATGTGGAAAAGTGAAATGTTGCTGCACAATTTGTAAGTCAAATAAAAATCAGTGAGCACAGATTTAGTAAATAGAGACTGCTCTTGCTTGTATGTATCATTGATTAATATTTTAAAAGTCCATTTGTGAGATCTATAACTAGCAAATGGTTATTCATAAGTTTATCTTTTCTCCATCAAGATCTACATATTTCCTTAAGTTGAAAATAAGAGGCTAAATATATTGTTTTGTTCCCTAAAAGCAACAGCAACAGAAAATCAGAATGGAAACATCAGGATTCTTCATTCTTTGTATTGGGTTCCCACACAGTTTAGTTAATTGATTTAAGCTACCAGAAAACTTAAAAGTTAAAGAAAATCAAGCCGGGTGCAGTGGCTCACGCCTGTAATTCCAGCACTTTGGGCGGATCACAAGGTCAAGAGATGGAGACGATCTGGCCAACATAGTGAAACCCCGTTTCTACTAAAAAAATACAAAAATTAACTGGGCGTGGTGGCGCACACCTGTAGTCCCAGCTACTCAGGAGGCTGAGGTAGGAGAACTGCTTGAATCCAGGAGGCAGAGGTTGCAATGAGCTGAGGTCGAGCCACCGCACTCCAGCCTGGGACCTGGTGATGGAGTGAGACTCTGTCTCAAAAAAAAAAAAAAAAAAAAAGTTAAAGAAAATTAAATTATTCATTTTATGAAACTATTAAAAAAGTAATACCTTATTATTTTAAAATTATATTTGTTTATATCTACAACCATATTGACCTTTTTGTTCAAATTGACTGATTAATTTAAACAAACTGTAATTTACTCAAAATTTACTCTGCTGAACTCAATTTACAAAACCAGTTGAAAGGCTCAACATAATTATAATCTGTGACTTACTGTGTTTACCCGAAGCCCAGCTAACAGAGAGACAGCAGGTTTGGGAGGCAGAAATTTCGGGAGAAGAAAGTGGCTTCAGTAACAGGTGGGAAAGAAAGAAAAAAAAAAAAAAAAGAAAAAGAAAAAGAGAGGAAAAAGGAGAGGGAGGAAAAGAGGAAAGAAAACCAACTGTTGTGGGTTAAATTGTGCCTCTATTTCCACCTCCTGAGATAGGCTGAAGTCCTAACCCCACTACCTGTGAGAATGACCTCCTTTGGAAATAGGGTTTTTGCAGACGTAATGAAATTAAGTAATATTGAATTAGAGTAGCCTTAAATCCAATAACTGGTGTCCTTATAAGAGGAGAGAGATTGGAAGAAACAGAGGAAACACATGCAGAGTGTAGACAGCAAGGTGAAGATGGAGGCAGAAACCACAGTGAAGCAGCTATGAGCCAAGGATGCCAAGAAAAGGAGTCACCAGAAGTTAAGAGACAAGCATGAGCAGTTTCTCTCCCTAGAGCCTCCAGAAGAAACTATCCTGCTATAATTCGGTTTTTGATTCTGGTCTCCAGACTTGTGAGAGAATAAATGTCTGCTGCTTTAAGCCACTCAGTTTGTGGTACTTTGTTATAGCAGCCTTAGGAAATTAATGTGGCAGCTACCCAGTTTCATACTTTCTGGTCTTCATCTTCAAAATAAGCAGCAGGGAATAATTCTCAGGGCTCCCTTGATGAAATGGGTCTTTTACAGACAGAAAAAGCATCTAGAGTTTGGGAAATCCTAGAAAAAACTTTTTTCATTCTATGATTTACTGCATATATCAGACACATAAATTAAGAGGCATGTAGAGTCATACTAGGAAATAAATTCTTCTAGTATATCCGTTTTCTTGAAAAGTTTTGCTATCATGAAGCATTTTATTAATTACTGATTTTTTGTTGCTTTTTAATAACAGTAATTTTATTATGTTTTATATTATAAATTCTCTCCGAAGAATTTTGAGGACTTTCTGGGTGGTGTCTCACCTACACTGATGAAGAAAATTTTGCCAGCAGTAGTCACCATTCTTCTCCACATCGTAGAATAGTAGTGGTTCTACTGCGTCCTGTACTTTCTGAGTGTTGCTGCTACTTCACCTGTGTTCTCTCTCAGATGAAATAATTTTCTTGCTTTTTAATCACCTCGTAGTTTCTGCTGTGGTTACAGTGCCCCAGTGGATACTGCAAACCTATGAGTCTCGTCAGTTGCAGCTATTAAGGTATACTTTCCTGAATACTGTTGACTTTATTGCTGTTCCTCTAGACAATTGTTTCTACCTGGTGGCTCCAAATCCTCCACTGAGTACAGAAGTTCCTAATAGTTGCTGTTGGTCTTCCATCATGTTACCACTTTGCTCTTCTCTACCAAGCCTTGTTGTGTTTCCTAACCCTCTGTGGCCAGCATCTTCCACCAGGCATGTAAGGCGCTAGTGCCGCTTCACCAGGTATGGCAATTCCCACTGTGTACTTTGCTCAGCCCACGCCACTGTTCGTGATGAAGGCAGAGGAGCAGTTGTCAGGGTGGGCATAGAATGACTCCACTATCTTCTGTATTGCTTTGTAACAGAAGTGTTCCCAAGGTGCTACCTATAATGGAGCCTTATAGAAATCAGTGAATTAGATCTTTCATTTTTAACTTAATGGACAGTTATTACCTTTATTCTGTGGGAAAGAAAACAGTAAAGGTGGAGATAGCAAAGAGTGGAGAAAGGGCAGATAATGGATAAACCGAACTCCAAGAGACAGGAGGGTTGGGGCTCAGAACACAGGTGAACTTTGAACAGAAGGTGAATCACTCTGTTAGAAGACAAGAATTGTAAAGGAGAAATCTGCATATCAGTTAGGCACACGAACTTTGGCTTTGGAGCCCAGGTTCAAATTTAGACTCTATCTTTTATTAGCCTGGTATCTATGAGCACAATCTGTCCTTATTTCTGCGAGACAGTATATGTGACTGATGCATCTAGCATTATGCACACAATAAAATGCATTTAAAGTGCTTAGCACAGAGCCTAGTCCATAGTAAGGCCTTTATGAATGTGCTAATATTAAGGAGATATGTAAACACACAGAAGTTATGGTAATATCTTGCCTGCCTACTGCCCCCCATCTTTTATTGTGAAATGGAAAGCAAACAATTAATATAAAACCTAGTAAGACTATTTAATGAATATCTGTGCCCTAATTGATTAAAAAATGAATCAAGTTTTTCTCTACTTGAGCAATTCTACTCCCCAATTTATTATGAGCCATATTAATTTTGTAACAAAGTAGCATGTTTAACATAATATTATTATACTATAGTTTTATATCGCATTTAAAAACATTATGGTTTAAATTAGTGTCTGCTTTTACTCTACAGCATAAACTACTACGCCCCTAGAAAAGACTGGTGAGAGAAAGAGAGGGATTTGCAGTTCATGCACATTTCCAAGATACAACTTGACTTTGTCTTTGCCTCAAGAGAAGCAAATATTGGTGATGTCAGGATGGTAGAAAAAATCAAATATATTATTAACATAGAATAAGTTATATTTGCGAGTAAAGAGGAGTAGTGTTTATATATTTTAGCAGTTATTCACCATGTTTTTCCCATGGGAATTCTTTTTCTCCCCCTTTAAATCTTCTTTATTGAGAAAATATATTTCCAAGGTTATTTCCTTATTTGTGACTGAGTAGAGAAGAATGGTCAGAGAAGACTGCCTCATAGTTCTATTTACCGTCAACCAACTCCAAAACCTGAGGATGAGAAGCCCATAGGGTGCGCCAAGCTATCAGGTTCTTCTGGGGCCAGAATGACAGTGTCTGGGGGCATCACCAAACAGTTGTACCGTCTAGTGCCATCCACTCTGCCTATATGGGAAGATCCATTAGGGTAGACCTGTTGCTCTGGCCTGACATGAGTGCTAAGGCCCAGCCTGAGCACCAGAATTAGTTAATTCCACTCATGCAGTCTGCTGAGAAACATGGAAATTCTTATAACTGATGGAGTTTATGTGTTTGATGAACAACCATGGCTTGTAGGTGTACAGGTTCCTTCAGAGGTGAGTTAGTTTGTTATTTGAAATCCTTTACCACTACTTTCCTTTCAGTCAGTGTCCCCATAGGAAGCAGAAGGCTTACTCAGCTGGGATTTGAAGAAGCAATAAAGAGGCTAGGTACAGAGAAAGAGGTGCAGTGAAATGAATGAGACAGGATCTTACTGTACTCAAGAATCGCTCCCCGGCCTGAAGGACCAAGGGGAGCCAAATGAATTATTAGAACCTGGTAAAAGCTGGACATTTGCCAGAGGGTCACCTAAATAAAAGGTACAGTGCAGAGGGATGCAGCCACTGCCTGAATCTCACCATTGAAGAAAGAACTGGGGGGCAGGAATCTCTCACTTCTCTTTGTCTGCCCTGGTCAGGTGACATAGTCCACAGGTGCTGGCCCTCCAGGGACACAGAACAGAGAAAGAAAAAATGAGTCTCACAGGCAAACAGAATATGACAAACTCAATCACCTTTTATCTCATTCAAAAAAATCATATTAAAACCCAAGAGTAGAAATGTAATTGCTATTGGCACAATTTATAAAAATTAAAATGTGCAACAACTTCAGTACTATATACATCTCATTAGTTATGGCAATATTATAATTTATCTCAACATTAAGAAACCTGAGAGTTCTATAGGTTTTTCTGAATATTTCCTTTTACTACACATTCAGAAAGTTATATATTAAGGTCTTGGCTTTAATTTATTGAGTTTATAGGCAACCAAACATTTCAATCAATAAATTGAGCTTTTATTTTGTAATTGTCAAATATGAGTTAATATGCCAGTAAGGAGGAGTGGGGGGAAGGTTGAAAAAATATGCCCAGCTTTCAATGTGTAGACTATATGTAAAATAAATGTGAGCTGGTGCCTTCTTGTTCCCTCAGAAATTTAGGTAAACATGGTTGGAATCTCTAACTTCTCAGTCTGAGAATCCAGAGCACTGTCTATACTTTTTGTAAATTACTGGCCATTGTTGTTAAACATATACCTTTGGGAAAAAGATGTTTAAAAATAATCGAGATTTGCTTTAAAAACTTTTTATGTTAGAAATTTTCCAACATTTGCAGAAACAGTTTAATGAGCTCCCATGTAACCACCGCTTAATTTTGACAAACTAGTTATATTTTGCCATTCCAGTTCCCTTTTACACTGCTCTCAACTTTTCTTTTTTGCTGATTTTCTAAAATAGTAAATCCCAGGCATCATGTCATTTAACTTATAAACAGATCACCTTATATGTCTGAGAAGAGCCTACTTTTAAGACATAACCGATGATATTATCACATCTAACAAAATAAATAATTTCTTAATATTAAATAGAAGTCCATATTGAAATATCCCTGTTTGTCATATCACAAAGGTGTCTTTTAGTATTTGATTTATTCAAATCAGGGTTTAAACATTTGGTTGTTAATAGTCATCATTTGTAAGCCCCCCACCCCTGCATTGATTTGTTAGGGAAATGGGTCATTGGCTTACCAAGAGGCAGGTGATCTGAACCCATGTAATGGCGACCCTTGCATTACAATTTTTTGCGTCCTGCTTCTCAATCTATAAAAGGGTGCTGGAACAGCAACTGAGGGAGCAGAATCATGGGAGCTATTTTGTAGCTGTCAGCCAGGAGGGACCAACTTATTTTTCTCTCCCACCCCATCTAAGACAAGCAAAGGTGGAAGGGGTCCTAGAGATTGGCAGTGCTAGACTGACCTTCTAGTTTCAGCTGGATGTTTGTTGATCCAAAGAATCCTAGACCCACTGGGGCCATGGTGCCACCTCCTGAACAGTGAGATAGAAAGTTCTTGTTAGAGCTCCATATGTTCTCTGCGAGTCTGGGGGGCACACCTGAACCTAAACATTTGTGATTAAGTCACAATTTGAGGTTGCAGAAGGCAAAAGACTTGCTACAGTGGCCTTGTACCCTCAGGGAAAGAACAAACTATGACTCAGTGAGCAAAGAAAGTAGACAGATATATAATCAACATCAGGGGTGTCCAATCTTTTGGCTTCCCTGGGCAACATTGGAAGAATAACCATGTTGGGCCACACATAAAATAAACTAACGCTAACAATAACTGATGAGCTAGCAAAAAAATCTCATAATGTTTTAAGAAAGTTTATTAATTTGTGTTGGGCTACATTCAAAGCTGTCCTGGGCTGCATGTGGCTGGCCCATGGGCTGCGGATTGGACAAACATTATCTACATCGACATACTACATCTACCTTAGAAGCAGAAAGGAGAACTTAAACATTGTCCAGAGCTTCAAGTGAAGGAAACAAAAGAGAAGAGGGTGCAGTATGGCTGCTCATGTTCACCAAATAATGGGATTGTTCATTTGGAGAACCAGTTTGGGACAGAGTTGACAGAAACCCAAGGGAGACATATTGACCCTAAATAAAGATCAGTATGATGGCAAAAGCGGAGAACAGCACATGGAACCAGTTGGAAGCAGAATAAAATCAGTGGTGGTCAGCCCTTGCACCGAACAGCCAGTTATATAAGCCACTTCCTGCCATCTCTTCTGCCCATTTACTCAACCAGTGTGTCACAGGAGTTACAGCCTGTTTAAGCTAAATTTGAGAGCACATTTTAAAATTAGCTTGGACTGAATGTTAATAACCAAATGATTGAGAAATTGTGGAAACTATCAAAAATATTGCTAAGACATCTGTTTCCCAGAGAGGAGAGATGATAACTGGATAAAAAGAATGAAAGGTTTTCATACTGAAACTTCTTAGTGAATCTGGTTACCCTTGCTTCAGGACAGCATAGTTTCACTCTGGCTTCACTCTGGCTTGAATTGGTTCAGTATGCTGTCATTAGCTTTGCCCACCATGCTGATCTTATGTGGAGGTACACCTGGTTTTCTTAGGGTGGTGTTTAGGTTCAGCCACAGCATTTCAAGAACCTTCTCAGGCAGCAGAGCTTAGCAGCAATGTGGCAGTTCACAACTTGCCATACTACAACTGCCCATTCTCAACTTCCCCCTGATAAGTTGAGACTCTGTCTCAAAAAAAAAAAGAGAGAGAAATAACTATTACAGAGGTCAGACTACTTAAAGGTCACATAATCACCACATTTACCTCACCTACGTGTGGCTGCATAGAAATCTAATCACAAAATTCCCTCATAAGTTTAGAAGGTCATTGCCAACATTTACTCAGTGATGTGCCTTTTCCTGGATTTCCCCACTGAACAAATGACCAATCCACCAACATTTACTATTCTGATTGACACATTCTTTATACATGTTTATATGTTCCATCTAATTAACATCCTGTCCTTCTAGATGTGAAGTGCTACTTTTCCTTTTTTTTTTTTTTTTTTTTTTTTTGAGATGGAATCTTGCTCTGTCACCCAGGCTGAGCCACTGCACCTGGCCAACCTATTCTTTTTTCATTATTATTATTATCTCTAAGTGAGAAAGTGCTTGTGGAACAACCTATTCTTAAAAAAAGGAAAAGTACGCTGGGCACGGTGGTTCACACCTGTAATCCCAGCACTTTGGGAGGACGAAGTGGGTAGATCACCTGAGATTAGGAGTTCGAGATCAGCCTGGCCAACATGGTGAGACCCCATCTCTACTAAAAATACAAAACTTAGCCAGGCATGGTAGCAAGCACCAGTAGTCCCAGCTATTGGGAGGCTGAGGCAGGAGAATCTCTTGAACCTGGGAGGCCAAGGTTGCAGTGACCCAAGATTGCGCCACTGCACTCCAGCCTGGGTGACAGAGCAAGACTCCATCTCAAAAAAAAAAAAAAAAAAAAAAAAAAATAGCTCATAGCTTCATAGCTGGGCATGGTGGCACATGCCTGTAATCCCAGAACTTTGGGTAGTCGAGGCAGGTGGATCATCTGAGGTAAGGAGTTTGAGACCAGCCTGGCCAACATGGTGAAACCTCGTCACTGCTAAAAATATAAAAAATTAGGCCGGGCGCAGTGGCTCACGCCTGTAATCCTAGCACTTTGGGAGGCCGAGGCGGGTAGATCACTAGGTCAAGAGATCGAGACCATCCTGGTCAACATGGTGAAACCCCATCTCTACTAAAGATACAAAAAATTAGCTGGGCATGGTGGAGCATGCCTGTAATCCCAGCTACTCAGGAGGCTGAGGCAGAATTGCCTGAATCCAGGAGGCGGAGGTTGGGGTGAGCCGAGATCACGCCATTGCACTCCAGCCTGGGTAACGAGCGAAACTCCGTCTCAAAAAAAGAAAGAAAGAAACATTATTAATTTCACCAGTCTCCTGAGTTGGTTAATTTGGCTACTAAAAAACTTTAAACTACCTACATAAATAGCTTTGTGTATCACATTATCTATTCTTTAATTTCTAAATGTTTCAAACTGACAGAAAAAAACTATATGTATTTATCATGTACAACATCTTTTTTGTTTTTTTGCTTTTTGAAACATAACATTTCAAGTATACGTTCATTGGTGAATCATCAAACACACTTCTTCACAGTTATTTTTCATTTTTGTAGTGGAAACACTGAATATGCTCTATGTATTTTTCTTTATTTTTCCTTTTTCTTTCTCTTTACGACTTGTCAAATGCAGCAGTAAGAAGCAGGAAAAGAGTAGAACAAAAAGTTCAATCCACAATTGACTCAACAACCAGTTGCGATAACTCACTATCTTCGAACTAGTATGTATTTTTCAATATAATATTTCTTCATTAATTATAGTCACCATACTGAACAATATATCTTTCTCTTTTTTCTTTGATGGGGGGTTGGTGGGGGGGGACTGGAGTCTCACCCTGTTGCCCAGGCTGGAGTGCAGTGGCACAATCTCAGCTCACTGCAACCTCCACCTCCTGGGTTCAAGCGATTCTCCCACCTCAGCCTCCCAAGTAGCTGGGACTACAAGCATGCACGCCATCATGCCTGGCTAATTTCTGTATTTTTAATAGAGACAGGGTTTCACCATGTTGGCCAGTCTGCTCTTGAACTCCTGACCTCAAGTGATCCAGCCACCTCGGCCTCCCAAAGTGCTGGGATTACAGACATGAGCCACCATGCACCCGGTCATTTTTTGCTATTTGCATGAAGAATGCCAGTGGTATTTTAATAGAGAGTGCATTGAATCTGGCTGGGCAAAGTGGCTCATGCCTGTAATCCCAGCACTTTGGAAGGCCAAAGCAGATGGATCACCTGAGGTCAGGAGTTCAAGACCAGCCTGGTCAACATGGAGAAGCCCTACCTCTACTAAAAATACAAAAAGTAGCCAGACATTTGGCATCCGACTGTAGTCCCCGCTACTTGAGAGGCCGAGGCAGAAGAATTGCTTGAACCCAGGAAGCGGAGGTTGCAGTGAGCCAAGACTGCGCCACTGTGCTCCAGCCTGGTGACAGAGCAAGACTCCGTCTCAAAAAAAAATATATATATATATATATATATATATATATATATATATATTTCAAGTTCTATTTGTTGTAACATCAAACACAAATGTAAAAGTCTCCAGCGTATAGGACCTCCACCCTACAATGTTAATTAGAACAGGAGGGAAATTCGCTGGTGGAATCATTGGAAACTTTCAGGTGTGATTCTTTAGAGGAGAACATGGGGGCAGAAGCAGAGTCACTTATTCTTTAGGAGTTTCATTGGATTTTAAAAACCTTTTCTTTCAAAGTTGTTAACTGAAATGTCAGGAAGGAGTTACATTGTTCACTGATCCCCTCCCCAAACAAAGAAGAACTTGCTACTTGGAGGCCCCTGATCAATCACCAGAGATTGAAGTGCAAGAAAAGAAACATTGTTGACTGGAGATGTTGTTCCTAGACCTCCACAGGCTTTGCAAGTATCTTGGCAAATATAGTTAAATAAAATATAAAAAAAAAGATTGTAGTTGTCTTGCTTTTTCTCACTGTCTGCATTTCAGATGTAATGAGAAGAAAACCACTAGTTTATGATAATCTTATATAGTTGAGTTTGATAAGAATGACTTAGAAATGCTTCCCAATAAAAAAGAAAGAAAGAAATCAAAGTCCAATAAAGACCCAGAAGAGAATAGAAATTACTAAAAGTTACAGGTTTTAAAAATGTAGTTTCAAGATATTTATCTGAAAAATCATAGATCAGTGTAGATAAAAATTAACATTATCCTTCCATATTAGCATTTGGTATTAGCACTTGACAAATACTTAAATGTTGAATGTCTGATGAGAATTTACTTCCCAATTAGATTTTTTAGTTGTTTATTTTCACATTTCTTGAGGCAAGCGGTACAGAATGTAGTGGCCAAGGTCATGGCTCAGGAGTGGTTTGAAACCCTGCTTCTCTACTTACTGTGTGTCTGACCATGGGCAAATTACTTAACCCCTCTCCTCCCCAGTTTGCTTGTCTGTAAAATGACAGTGATGAGAGTCCTTATCTCTTGCAGCAATAATGAGGATTCAATAGGACAGCTCACATAAAACTGTTAGAATGGGGACTGGCATTTAGTAAGAGCTCAATAAATGTTAGATATTTTTATTTTAAGTTCTGGAATACAAGTGCAGAATGTGTAGGTTTGTTACACACATAGGTGTGCCGTGGTGGCTTGGTGTACCTGTCAACCCATCATCTAGGTTTTAAACCTCGGTTACAGTACTATTTGTTTCAATGCTCTCCCTCCCCTCGCCCCCTACCTCTGACAGGCCCTGGTGTGTGTTGGTCCCCTCTCTGTGTCCATGTGTTCTCTTCGTTCAACTTCCACTTCTAAGTGAGAACATACGGTGTTTGGTTTTCTGTGCCTGTGTTAGTTTGCTGAGAATGATGGCTTCTGGGTTTATTTCTACTTATGCCATGCCAAACCATACAATGTTATGAAAATTACTGTGATTATTGATCAAACACATAGGCCACTGGAGGAAAAATAAAATAAATTCTCAATGTTTACAGAAGAATACAGGAAACTGCTTTTCTTAAAATGTATTCACATGGTCTTTCATTTCTAAAGAAGCTGGTGTTGGCCAGGCATGGTGGCCCATACCTGGATACGTGCACTTTGGGAGGCCAAGGCAGAAGGATTGTTTGAGCTCAGGAGTTCCAGACCAGCCTGAGCAACACAGTGAGACCTTGTCTCTAGAAAAAAATTAAAAAATTATCCCAGTATGGTGGTGCATGCCTGTAGTCCTAGTTGCTCGGGAGATTGAGGTGGGAGGACTGCTTGAGCCCAGGAGTTTGAGGCTACAATGAGCCATGATTATGCCATTGCACTCCAGCCTGGGTGACAGAGCAAGACCCTGTCTTAAAAAGGAAGCTGGTGTTAATCTCCCCTTCATGTAACCCACTGCACAGATGTGTGTAGCTCCAAGTGCACACAGCCTTCCATCTCTCGGCCTAATGTTACACTGCACTCCAGCCTGGCAACAAGGTCAGACTCCATATTAAAAAAAAAAAGATTCTTTAACTTGACAGATCTGGAGTGGAGCCTCAAATTCTGCCTTTTTAGCTAGCTCCTGCCACTTTAAGCAGCAAGGATACATAGTGTCAAAATTCAAGATAACTTTTGAGTCCATACCTGGTGCTTAGGGTGTGGCCATTTCCCTGCTGCTGGCTAATAACTAAGTGCTAATGTATTTTCTATTTACCTGTATTGTGAAAAATAGCAGACATGATGAATTCAAAACATTCTGATCATTCAATCATTCACCAGTTATTTATTGAGCCATTACTACAGTCATCCCTTAGTATCCATGGGAGATTGTTTACAGGATCCCCCTCAGATACCAAAATCCTTCGATGCCCAATATAAAATGGTTTAGTATTTGCAAAGAACCTACACAAATCCTCCCATAAACCTTAAATTCTGTCTAGATTACTTATAATACTTAATACAATGGCTATACATTACTTCATGTGGGTTCAACAATAGTATCCAGCATACGGCAAATTCAAGTTGTACTTTTTGGAGTTTTTGTTTTTAAGATGGCGGCTCCCTCTGTTACCCAGGCTGGAGCACAGTGCTGTGATCTTGGCTCACTGCAACCTCTGCCTCCCAGGTTCAAGTGATTATCCTGCCTCAGCCTCCCCAGTAGCTGGAATTAGTCACCCACCACTACACCTGGCTGATATCTGTATTTTTAGTAGACATGGGATTTCACCATGTTGCCCAGGCTGCAGTGCAGTGGCGTGATCTCATCTCACTGCAACCTCTGCCCTCCAGGTACAAATGATCCTCCTTCCTCGGCCTCCCTAGTAACTGGGATTACAGGCAACTGCCAGCCCTGGCTTTTTAGTTGAGACGGGGTTTCACCATGTTGACCAGGCTGGTCTCAAACTTCTGACCTGAGGTGACATGATCGCCTTGGCCTCCCAAAGTGCTGGGATAACAGATGTGAGCCACCGTGCCCAGCCTCCCAAATATTTTCAATCCATCATTGGTTGAATCCAGGGATGTAGAACCCATAGAAAGCTAAGAGCTGATGGCATACACAAGGCAAGGCAACTGGCATTGGTGATATAGTGGAGTTTATCCGGAGTGAATCTCCCCATGTCTTCAAGGGAGATTTTATTGATTAGCAGCTGTGGCAGATACTGTTAGGTGCCACCCAATATTGATTTATTTTCTTCCATTATAACAATTTTGATTTCACTTGGGCCAGCAATAGGCTCAAGCTAAAAGACCACATTTCCTAGATTCTCCCTTGAAGCAAGACGTGGCCAAGTGGCCAATCTGGCTAAGAAGATCTAAATAGAAGTATTAGAATGGGACTGGGGAAAGCTGTGTGGGAAAAGGGTATTTGCTAACCTGGAAAGGGGCCTTTTTATCGTCTACTCTCTCCCCAGGTCTGGTGCTGGGATTACAAATGACAGGTGGAGTCAATAACTGCAGCTATCTTGGCTATGAGGTGACATGAGGGAAGAAGTCATACAGAGTAATCCAAGACAGAATGAGTCTGGGTCACTGATGACTAAGGACTCTTTCCACTAGCACTAGACTGGCCTACTACTGGTTTATTTTACTTGATAAATGTCTTGTTTAAACCACTGTTATGTCAGGTTAAATACAATTCCTAACTACTATCGCTTAGACAACCAATACAAATGTTAAAAATTCTTTTTCTATAAAAACTTTTTTTTTACTTATCTCATTTTAGGACTGACTTTATTTCACACAAAGAAAATCACAATTATGGCTATAACCAGGTGAGTGTTGAGGCTGCAGTTGGAAAGGAATATAGAAGTTGAACATTGAGGAGGTGGTAAGGAGACCAAAAAAGAGAGAGGTCAATGTAATCATGCTGAAACCAGCAAGGGAAATCGCAGCAGCTGTGGTGAGGAAGGAGGCTCGGGCATCTAGGATCACCTCCCCCTTGATCTCCACACTGCAATAGAAGAAAAGGCTGACTGGCTGGCTGGTGCCTCCTTAATCACTTTCCTATAGGATAGCAGGCATGGTAAGGGGGAAATCTCTCCAGAAGATACTGTTTTTACTTAAACAAGATCAAATCTCCACCCCACTCCTCCATTTGGAGACCAGAAACCTTTCACATGTAATTCCTAAAATTGTAAACCCAAGACCCTTTCATATGTGATTTCTAAAGCTGTAAACCTAAGACCCTTTCACTTGTAATTTCTAAGACTGTAAACCTAAGATCCTTTCACGTGTAATATCTACAGTGTAAGCCTACATAAAGGCAGAGCTTCTCTTTTAGGGGAACTTGGCCATTTAAACAAAAACATAAAGCCTTGCTCCCGGGCCGTAATAATAAAACCCCTTCTCTCTCTAATTCAGAGCAGTCTGTTTCTCACAGCTGCTCCTGCTTCAGTGAAACAGAAGATTGTGAGCAAGATCCCAGAGAAAAGATGGGCACTTAAGACCTTAGAGAGGACAGTGACCAGGAAGGGCTTACAAGCACTGTTTTGCTCTCTAAAAGCCCCAAATGCAAATCTTCTGTTTCAACTAGATTACTCCCTGTCAGATCTCTGCATGAATTGATGAATCAAACCTAAGAGACTTAAGAGAAAAGCTAACCTTTTAAAACACAGAATGGACATTTTATCAAAATTAGACAATATCTGCCTGTTACAGCAGACAAAAGGGCCATGGGACACAGAGGGAACGGCATTTCTGCATACGGACAAATGAGTCGAAGATGGTGGATTTAAGAATAGACAGATCCCATAAGTTGACAGTATTCAAAACTTAATGAAAAAAGTTCTCGCTCTTTCTCTGAATTTCTGTCCTAGAATTTTACAAATTATTAGAACTAGATTAGGAGAAATCACTTATAGATAAAGCTATACCAGTTCGTTATTGGTTGGGAACTTATTTGCGAGCTGGGCAGTGGAGTTGCAAAGATGCTGGAGGTATGAATCTTGCCTTAGAGACATTCCCTCCATAAGGGTTGGAGGACTGAGGAGATACATAGATGGAGAGAAAGTACAGCAGAATGAATAGAAAGCTTTAGTAAATTGCCAGTAATCAAATAGGTAGGTAGGACTGTACTCACGGCTAGAAATCCTACTTTCTGACATCTAGCTCAGTTTTATTCTTGAAGCAATTCTCAGTATTTTCCAGAAACTTGTTTTATTGAGTACAGTACTGCTTTATGAAGTCAAGGTGTCAATCTTGAATTACCTAGATAATCTGGGAGTATGTCACTCGACCTGCTGCTTTTGTTTATTTTGTTTTCTACTCCAGTTATTTGCTTTTGGTCTTTGGCTGAAAAGTGATGTGTTTTGAATAGTCAAAGATGGATACTATTGAGTGTTTTCTTTGTAGTGAAATTACTTAACTATGTTTCAGACACACAATAGGCCTCACAGCCATCCTGAGGCAGATACAGTTGTTCTCATTTTTGCAGATGAGGAACCAAAATGTGTTCCTCCTAAATAGGTTAAGCGACTGCGGAAGGCCATACAGCTAATAATTGGCAGAGCTGACCCAAAATGTCAGGAGCCCCCAGAGGGTCTCTGACATTTGAGGCTCTTAACATTCCCCTATACTGCTACTAAATCTAAGTGATAGCCTAGATAAACCCACATTGTGTGAATTTGAAAAGGTTATTTGATGTAAGCCCACAGCAGCCCCTCAAGAATGCTTGATTCAAAGGAGACCCCCTTGGTTTTAATTGATGGAAGGAGTATCTATTGCTGTAATTATGCAGGTCCTGATTTGCAGTAACACGTGTTCAAAGAAGTTTGATGGGTGTTTTCCTTTCTCGGTTTGTTTCCCAAATACTTTTTGTTGCAGTTCCTTCAGTTTAAGGAGTGTGTGTGTGTGTGTGTGTGTGTGTGTATGTGTATGTGTATTTTGCTGTCATATTTCACATTCATCCAGACTTCCTAATCCTATTGTCACATGGCAATAAGCATACAGGTGCTGAGATTTCATTATTGGTGATTCTCTGGGGCTTATGTTGGTGCTCGTGGAAGCATACCTTTACTCTGTTGGTTTTTCTTTATAAGATTTGTTGCTGGGCATGGTGGCACATGCCTGTAGTCCCAGCTACTTGGGAGGCTGAGGCAGGAGAATCACTTGAACCCGGAAGGCAGAGGTTGCAATGAGCTGAGATTGCGCCACTGCTCCAGCCTGGTGACAGAGAGAGACTTAGTCTAAAAAAAAAAAAAAAGAAAGAAAGAAAATGTATAATTATCTCTGAACTCAGTTCTCTAAACTAGCTCTGGTGAGACTTGGAAAAATGGCCATTGCTCCTGTGGGACCCAGCTTCTTCAACTTTCCACCTCAGCATTTGCCTTCTACCTACAAGCTAAGCACTTTTTTCTCTCCTCCACTGGAAGCCTGCTGGATGCAAGAAAGAGCAGCAGTTTTCTAGCTGATCTGACTAAGTGTGCAAGTTTAATTAACTTGGGAAGTAAGAAGCCCACTTGAGTTGCCCATCTAAGCCAATTTGCATGCCAGCTCTACCAGTAATAAAGTCAGTATTTTTATCTCTGTGCGATTCCTGAATCTATTCAGCAAAAGGCAGGCTAGAATTAATCAGTACCCAACAGACCCCGACAATCACAACTTATTATTACATGTTTATGATATTCCAACAGAGTGATTAAATAAGAGCTGGGACTTTGGAATTAGACTATCTGGATTTTAATTACAGTTCTGCCACTTAATAGCTATATAATCTTGAGGACATTAATTAATTTCTTTCATGAAATGAGTATTATGTTTATATTTAATCTGTAGCGCATGTGATAACTTTTATAGTGGGTTTGGCAAGGAGCTTGGTCTGTGGCAAAGCTTGAATACTCCTCTCAATCAAATTTGTAAAACTAGAGATACAAGTAAAACCTTGTTTTCATGAACAGCATCATAAAATGAAATTATTTTTATGACAAACAGGTTCTCCAAACTAAAATTCAGGACATATTGTTTAACATGGTTTTCCCCAATTGTGAATTCACATTAAGTCTTCCAAAGTTATCAAATTAATTCATATTTTATAAAATCATTGGTATAGTAAAAAAACTGAAATATAAAATTCATTAGAGGTAGTTATTACAATATTAGGATGCCATTGTCACTCATGTACTGCTGTGAACCCAGAATGTAACACATAAGGATAATCATTAAATAAACTTCGATGTTTTGTTACACATACTTGTCTCCTCTTGTGTCTCACACACACACACACACACACACACACACACAAATCTGGGTTACTAGATTCTTCATATATCCTAATATAATTCTGTTTAACTTCTAAATTTATTAATGCATACCTTTCTTTATTCACAATGGATTTAAAGCAGACTGGAATTGTATACATAAAACCTGATAAAATGGTAAGTGATTAAGGGAAAATAAGAAAGTCTGTACAGGTGAGGTTAGCATATATCATGAAGTCCTTTCTAAATACCCATTAGAGGTAGGGCTCAAATTTGACTTGAAGCTCTTTAAAGCCATCAACAAAGAGAACACAATCAGTTAGGACATGAGTCACAGGAACCATACAATAAAAACTAACAGGTACTCCAGAGAGCTGAAGAGAGGCATAATTATTCTTGTAATAAACTAGAGAAAAGTTCATTCTCTATATGTTCATGAAGGAGATGTGTAATGTGGTAAAAATGTCCTAATCAACATCTTTAAAAGAATAATGGGTTTCAGATGGTTTTCTTCTTAGACCATCCATCAGTATAGATGGCTGTCATAAGGCTAAATAAAGTTCATGGTTAGCAAAGATAGTAGTACAAAATAGTAGTGTTGCTCTCTTTTTTTTTTCTTCAAGGTCTCACTCTGTCACCCAGGCTGGAGTGCAGTGATTTAATCATGGCTCACTACAGCCTCAACCTCCTGGGATCAACCAATCCTCCAGCCTTAGCCTCCTGAGTAGCCAGGACTACAAGTAGGTGCCATCAAACCTGCTAATTATTTTATTTTTTGTAGACACAGCATCCCATTATGTTCCCCAGGTTGGTCTTGAACTCCTGAGCTAAGTGATCCTCTTGCCTCAGACTCCCAATATGTACCGGGGTTATAGGCCTGAGCCACCACACCTGGCCTCTCTGACAGACTTAATCCAAAAGGAAATAAATCTTAAATACATTTAGAAAAATAGATAAACTCCATATTCTTCAGACAATCCTCCAAAGATGACTGAAACTATCAATGAGTTTTTTGTTTGTTGTGTTTTAATTTTTTTTTTTTGTAGAGATGGGGCCTTGCTATGTTGCCCAGGCTGGTCTCAAACACCTGTCCTCAGTGATCCTCTCACCTCAGCCTCTCAAAGTGCTTGGGTTACAGGCATGAGCCACCATGTTCAGCTGCTAACCAAGCTTTTGGTAGGTATAGAGATAGGTATAGAGATTTGGGAGCTTGTGTTTATATTCCATAAAGGGTAGGTACCTGACTTGTAGATTTTTGTTATAAGGTAATTGAAGATCAATAAGCTTAATATTAGCTGAGTAGAGAAAGGGAGACAACCTCTTAAGAAAGGTAAGGAGCTGGACAAGTGCCCATATCCACAGAGTATGAAGGTACGAATGACTGCACCATGATTTTTCTCAAAAAGCAATCTGAGTTTTCATCAACAGAATATGAAGAATGAGTAATCACTCAGCAAGTCTTTGAGTAATTTGTGGGGATCATAAGTGATTTTGCAATTTCTTTCAATGGTCATAGATGACTTCTAAGAAGATAAATACAATTTGGTTTACTTTTGGAAGTTAATGCAAATATTTAAATATACTGAAATCTGTAGTAGACTGAATTAGCAAAGTCTCATTGATACACCTCTTCTCCAGATCACACAATTTTAGGCTTTTTTTCCCACCTGAATCAGGTTAATAATAGTCTTCAAAACTTGCTTTCTAAATATTTCAGACCACTAACTTGCCTGTAGCACCTGGAACAAATTTCAACAAATGGCATACTGGAAATATTTTTTTGCATATATTATACTCTATTACAGAAGCCTAGTTTTTCTTCCTTCCATATTCAAGTAAATGTGTAAATATCACTGTTCTGATGTGGATGCTCTGTCCCGCCATTTTGGAAATAATGTCATGAAAAGAAAGGCAACTTTTATGCAAAAATTGGAACTTAAGTTTTGATTTAGGAACCTCAAAAAAATATTCTTCAAATCTAGTGAAATAAAATAATTAAAAATTAAATATACAGATATATTCTTCAGAGTAGCAGGGAATTTAAGATTGACTTTAAAAACTCAAAATTTAAAAGTTTTTTTTTTTTTTTGAGACGGAGTTTTGCTGTTGTTACCCAGACTGGAGTGCAATGGCACGATCTCGGCTCACCATAACTTCCGCCTTCTGGGTTCAAGCAATTCTCCTGCCTCAGCCTCCCGAGTAGCTGGGACTACAGGTGCACACCACCATGCCCAGCTAATTTTTGTATTTTTAGTAGAGACAGGGTTTCACCTTGTTGACCAGGATGGTCTCGATCTCTTGAACTCGTGATCCACCCACCTTGGCCTCCCAAAGTGCTGGGATTATAGGCATGAGCCACCGCACCCGGCCTAAAACAGCTTTCTTTTAATTATCTTTGCTAACTCTCAAATATTTTGTTTCAATGTCAACATAACACACCATGTATTTAATCATAAAATGGTTTCACCATTTGCAATTACATATACAATATTTCTAAATAAAACTTTAATTTTTAATTTTTTTTGAGATGAAGTCTTGCTCTGTTGCCCAGGTGGCATGATCACGGCTCAATGCAGCTTTGAATTCCCAGCCTCCAGCAAACCTCCTGCCCAGCATCCCAAGTAGCTGCTACTACAAAGGCACACCACCATGCCTGGCTAATTTTTTTGTATTTTTGGTAGAGATGAGATTTCACCGTGTTGCCCAGGCTGACCTAGAATCCCTGAGCTCCTGAGCTCAAGCAATTCACCTGCCTCAGCCTGCCAAAGTGCTGGGATTACAGGCATGAGCCTGCAAGCTCCATATGAAAATAGAATGATTATATAAGATATTTCTTGCTAGGCTCAGTGGCTCACACCTGTAATGCTAGCACTTTGGAAGTCCGAGGTGGGACGATAGCTTGAGCTCAGGAGTTTTGAGACCAGTCTGGGCAACCTCATGAGATAGTAAGATCTCATGTCTACCAAAAAAATAAATTAGCCGGGCATTGTGGCACACACCTGTAGTCTCAGCTACTTTGTGTGGCTGAGGTAGGAGGATCACTTGAACTCAGGGTAGGCTGCAGTGAGCAATGACTGCATAACTGCACTTCAGCCTGGGTGATAAAGCAAACACTGTCCCCCAACCCAGCCAAAAAAATATATTTCTTCATTGAAGCTTTAAAACCTGATTGTTCCAGACCTCAGGGAACTAAGAAATCTAGCTGAGGAGTCAAAACGAACAGAGGCACACATAAATAAATTTACCAGACTTTTACAAAGCAGTACATTTGTTTCCTCTAATCTGTTCTTTACACTCCAACAAGACCCATTTTAAAACAGTTTTCCTTAAACGTTCAAAACTCAAGAAACTCCAACAGCTCTCTACAACCTAAAGAACCATTTGTACATTTTTTAGAAATGCAACTGCCCGAGTCCCACTCCAGATCTCATTCTTAATTTCTGGGGATATGTTTAAAAGTTCCACAGTGAGTCTGAAGCACAAGAATGAGAACCACAACTGAGTTCACCCTATCTGAGATGTTCCTTTTGTCAGGACAGTCCTTTTCATGTCTATTCTCTTGGTTTATGTTTTCTCTTGTCTGAAAATGTTCCTTTTCTCCTCTCCAAATACCCATATTTCTAAATAAGCTTCAAAATCTTTCATCCTCCATGAAACGACACTAACCACTATAACTCAACGATGTCTCCACTTCTCTGTAAACATCAATACCTTCATACATATATACATAATTTATTAATATTTTAGGTCTACTTCTTTTACACATTGATGCGCATTTAAAACTGTCTGATGGACAACTGGCAAATTTCCTTCACTACAGTAAATCTAAAACACATGCAACAATATTTATACCCATATATTTCAAACTTTCAAAATTATGTTGCCTTAATACCTAGAGTTATAGAAAACTTCAGGTGAATTTGTTCATTCCTCGATTGTGATTTTTATACTACTGTCAATCATCAGTGCTAATGATATCAGTTTCACATACCTAAACTGAACCATTCAAGTTTCTAACATGAATCCCATAAGGGAAGTTAGTGCTACAACTCTGAGAATATCTTCAAGAAGAATGCAGGAAAGTAATCAAGGGAAAGCATGAAACATTACATCTCAATAGATTTAGAATCCAAAGGGTCAGACATTCATGAGATTAGGTTTCAAAGTACAAATTTGGAAGTACAGTATATGAACAAGACCATTGTTGAGACTGTATCAGAAAATGAATTCAAAAAGAATATGAACAGAAACTGAAAAGAAAATTTTAAGAATGGATCATGGAGCCAGGCACAGTGGCTCACGCCTGTAATTCCAGCACTTTGGGAGGCCGAGGCAGGAGGATCACCTGAGGTTGGGAGTTTGAGCCCAGCCTGACCAACACCGAGAAACCCCATCTCTAAAAAAAAAAAAAAAAAGAAGAATGGATCATGGAGCAGAAAGAAAAGAGGAAGAAAAAACTGACCAATGGATGAAATAGAATTAGAGAAACACAAGGAAAAATTTGAATAGCAGAGTACTTTAAAGGGGTGTTTTTCTAAAAAAAAGAGAACACATTAAATATTAAGATTTATACATAAAAGTTAGTTACTGCCTCATAGCCTTAAAGTAATTAAAGCAGTAGCACTGGTAATTCAGGAAACTGCATTGTATCTTCTAAGATACCAGAATACATAATGTGCCTAAAGGACATTCTAAATCAAAGAAGGCTGATCTTCCTGAGTTACTGCTACCTGAGATCTACAAGATCTTCAAAAATTCAGTCTGTTACTACCTAATATTTTAAAAACTAAGCAAACCTTCCCAGATGCAAGAAGCTTCAAAAACATACAGAAAATTAATTCACAGTATACCACTTCTTGCTCCTTAGTTTATCTGCAGCTCTCTTTGTCGTCTTCTAAACAGCATTTTATTTCTAGAAGTTTGAAAATGCTAAATACTGAAAAAGACCCAAGAGAAAGGACATAGAATACCAGAGAGACACTGGGGAAAATACTACCTATCTACCAACTTGGACTGCATGCTAATTTCTACCTACCTATCTACCTACCAACTTGGACTTCATGCTCATTTCTTCTCCAGAAAATTTCAAAACACCTTAAGTTGGGGCCATGATAATGACAAAAAACAATTATTCATGAAAATCAGGTCTCCCTCACTAACTAGTTGTTTCTCAAATGTCCCAGTGATATACCTGGCCTCTCGCAAACATGCTTGTGTAAGTTCTCCCATATATTAAGCTTATCAAGTTATAGCTAGGACCTTGACCATTAGAAATGCTGTTACTACTCTCTTAGAAATAATGCAGATCACGTTTAGGGAGGCCCAACATATAATGCAGAAAGTATAGTATCTCTACCTTTATACAGGTAGAAGGTTCATGTTATCCTATCTAATTTTTACTCAGGGCCAACCAATCCAAATACATAGGGTTATGTAAGTGGTTTTTGACTAAAGTTGATGTTGTCCTCCCTACTTCCTCAAGAGATATGTGGCAATGCCTAGAGATATTTTTGGTTGTCACAACTGGGAATTGCTATTAGTATATAGTGTGTAGGAGACAGGGATGCTGCTAAACACACTATAATGCACAAGTCAGTCCAGAAATTATCCCATCTAAAATGTCAATAGGTTGAATTACTCTAGGTTATACAGGTTGAGTATCCCTAATCTGAAAATCCAAAACCTAAAATGCTTCAAAATAAACTTTTTGGGCATCAACACGACGCTCAAGAGAAATATGCATTGGAGCATTTTGGATTTTGCATATTTTGAAAAAGATGCTCAACTGGGAAGTATAAGACAAATATTCTAAAATCCAAAATCCAAAATATTTGTGGTCCCAAGCATTTTGGATAAGGAACACTCAACCTGTACTATATTGGGGAGTTTGCTAATGTTTTTCTGTTTGCTCTAGCATCAACATCATTTAATAGTGAGATTGCCCCCCCCAGCGGCTAACTATGGCGATCGCCACAGAGAAGGGGGTGCTGGTGGAGATGGTACAGGTGCTCAAGAGGCTCCTGCTTACCATCTTATTTTGGAAGGGTTTCTAATACTCTGGATAATCAGACTTCTTTTCTCTAAGACTTACAAATTACAAGAACGATCTGATCTTATAGTCAAGGGAAAGGAAGAACTGATTGAAGAGTAGCAACCAGAACCTCTTGTTCCTCCTGTCCCAAAAGACCATCCTGCCCCTCAACTACAACATCGTTTCAGGTTAAGTGAGCACCTGGGTCTTTGAGAATTTTCTCGAGACAGCTCTCTTTGGTTCCACGACTCTTCCATCCACTTTGTGTGGCCTTGCACCCATGGCTGCGTCTGCCTCCTCCACGGTGGCATATGTGAAGAAGCCAAAGCCCCTGGAGCGCTTGGTGTTTGGATCTCTCATTACCACACAGTCCGTGAGCGTTCCCCATGGCTCAGAATGGCTCCTCAGGCTGTCGTTGGTTGTTTCAAAGCTCAACCCTCCAATGAAGAACTTCCTTAGCTGTTTGGCTCTTTAGGAGACTCTGACTTAGACATGATCACAGGGAGCAGAGAGACTTTAATGATGCTTCTTCAGTGGCGTCCACAGGCAGAAACGACTATTAATTATTTTTGACATGGAGTTTCGTTCTTGTTGTCCAGGCTGGTGCGCAATGGTACGATCTCAGCTCACCGCAAGCCCTGCCTCCTGAGTTCTAGCGATTCTCCTGCCTCAGCCTCCCAAGTAGCTGAGATTACAGGCATGTGCCACCATGCCTGGCTAATTTTGTATTTTTAGTACAGATGCGGTTTCTTCATGTTGGTCAGCTGGTCTTGAACTCCCAACCTCAGGTGATCCACTGTGCCCAGCCACAGATACCAATTTTTACTCAATTCTTGGTGTGGTCAAAAGTGAAGGGACGGGGAGAATGAGGGGCCCAGCAGCCACGTGGGCCAAGTCAGAGTTAGGAGGAGGAGCTGGGACCTGTGACATGTAGGTGGCCTGGGGCAGGGAGTCTCAGCAGGTCGGGAGACATCGGGTCAGGATGGTTGGCACTGCAGTTTACCATATCTTCTCTATCCTCCCATGTCGTTTTTTTCAGTCTCCTGGATTGTGGTTTTCTACCTAATGCCCCCATGTTGTTGGTGAATCTCTCCAGGGATAGGCGGGGACATGTAGCGGGTGAGGGCCCCTCATCTCTCCCCCACCTCCATTGCTGGGGAGGGACCAGTGGCAGCTGCTGGGGTTGCCCTGACCGTTTTGGTTGCCGGGAACTGTGGCTGGCAGCTCTAGGTGGAGAAGAGCTGCTTGTTACAAGAGCTGCAGGATCCTTGAGCTGGGTCTCCTTCCCCCACATCTACAAGCCTGAGGAGCTGGGCAGGTGGTCTTTCCCCAGCACCTGAGAGGCCGCCTTCTCTGGCCAATGGGAGCAGCCGGGAACTGGGCCAGGGAGCACTGCTGGAGCTGGGTCAGGCTTCCCAAAGGTAAGGACGCCTCCTACAGGGCTCTGTGCGCTGGGCACTCCGTGGCCCTTGGAGTGGAAACTCACTGCAGGTACCTGGACCTTGTCAGTTCTGTTCATTTCTGTCAGGCTCCTGCTATGGACATTTCCCTTTAAGGCCATGGGACTGTAGTCGAGGGAAGAGAGGTTTCCCTGAGTCTCCAGGGCCCTTGAGGTGGATGCTGCTCCCCCATTGCTATAGGGGCCTCCTTTCACCTCCTCCTGCCGCTGGGTCTCTACCTGATCGTCCATCTCCATTGGTTCTTGTGGCTCTTCTTCTGACCACACCTCCGTCTTCAGGATAGGGACGGAATTCCAAGACCTGTTCCCCAGCACCTGTAGCGAAGGCAGTTGAAGAGGAAACTTGAGTGACTTCTTATTAGGCCTCACTACCCAACACTGTTGCACTGGGGATTACATTTCTAACATATGAACTTTGGAGAATACATTCAAACCATAGCAGTCACTCCATTTGAGACACAGAAAAGCCTAAAAAGATCTTAAGAGAAGAATCAGCAATATAAGGTAGATTTCAAATGCCAACTTAAGCTGGAAGAATGCAGAAAAGCTAGAGGACTTCCAAAGCCTTCTTTGGAACATATATATGTCCCCTCTGGACTAATTTTTTTTTTTTTGAGACTGAGTCTTGCTCTATTGCCCAGGCAGGAGTGCAGTGGTGTGATCACAGCTCACTGCAACACTGCAACCTCTGCCTCCCAGGTTCAAGTGATTCTTGTGCCTCAGCCTCCTGAGTAGCTGGGATTACAGGCACATTCCAGCACACCCAGCTAATTTTTGTAGACAGTGTTTCACCATGTCGGTCAAGCTGGTCTCAAACTCCTGACCTCAAGTGATCCACTCACCTCAGCCTCCCAAAGTGCTGCGATTACAGGTGTGAGCCACTGCACCCAGCCTGGACTGATATTTTCGAAAGCAGGGACCTTCTTTCTTTTTTACATCTCTGTAAACAAAACACCTACTATAGTGTTCTAGAAATACTAAATTAATGAATTTATAAAAACAAAGCACACAACTGCTATGCTTTTTCTTCACATGCTCACATGCTGTGTAGTGTCTACATTTTAAGCCATAAGCTTGGAAATGCAATCAATACACTTTTGAGAATGACAATTAAGGCACACATACTCACGCACCTTCCTTCATAACACAGGAATGGTGATTTTACTACCAAGGCCTAAGAGAAGTAAGTTTTGAGGAAAATAAGGAATCTGTAAACCACTCATACAAGTAACAGGAGCCAACATGTTCAGGGTCTAATGTTACTCAGACAGCAGGTCTAGACAAAATAAACATTTGTTCTATTACCTTTTTGTTATGTTGCCATGGGAATCTATATTTGCAGGAAAACTTATTTTCTGCAACATGATGACAGAGCAGTAACAAAGGGAGAGATCTGATGAAAAAGGAGGGGGGTTTACATCTGTAAAGGCAGGAAGGACAATAAATAATACAGATTTTTACAGGGTCACATGTCTGTAGGATCTTTCAATCTACACAATGTATTCAAGTTTAACAGAGAAATCCTTAGGGCCTCAAAGCCAAGACATTAATGACAGATAACAGTGGTCCAACCTCTACTAAAAGTACTGTAATAGGGAAAAGGCAGAGAAATGTAAAGCAGAAAAGGGGTCAAATAAAAAAAAGGGCCAAATAAGATCATAAATGTTTAACTGTTGAAAGAAGGTAAAAATGACTTTTAAAACATGATCCAAAAGTAAGAAAAACCCTAGAAGCCAAAGAAGTTAAAAAACACTCAATCTGCCAGCAGACTAATCTTCCATTTCAGTTAAACTCAAGAGCTAATCTCTGTTCTCTTCCTTTTGGCAACAAAATCCTGAAAAACTAAGTAAGCTCATGTTATTTAAAGAGCTGGACTAGAATATACTATATTTCTAGGGCCCAACAAAAATACTGGCTCTGGCACTCTGGACTGCTGTAACGAGTTGTGAGGATGGTTCAGGGCTCTCCACCAATTCATCCACAGTAGTGGTTTAGGATAGAATGGGTAAGCAACAGCAAGGAAGAGAATTGGGACCCCAGAGCACCGTGATCTGTTAAAACATGATTTAAGTCACATCCTTCCTGTGGTCATAACCCTCCAAGGCTTCCCCTTTCACTCAAAGGAAAAGTCACAGTCTTTATAAAGGCAAATAAGACGCTACATGATACCTGCACAACTGCAGCACCCCCTGCACACACACACTTTTCTACCTACATTTGGCCCCTGGTTCATTTAGTACTAGCTATACTGGTCTCTTAGCTTTTTCCTGGAGCATTGGGCCCTTGCCTCTGGGCTTTTGCACTTGTAAAGCCTCAACCTAGAATGCTCTTACATCCTCACCCAGGTCCAAACAGTGTCACCTTCTTCAGGTTTTTGCTCAATTGTTATTTATCAATGATGCTTACCCTGTTCATCTTGCTTAAAAGTCCAACAGCCATCCTAGCACTCACTCTCCTTCCCTTGCTGCTTTTTCTCCACAGCACTTATCTGACATACTATATTCCGAACCCCCCCCCCCCCACCGCCCCCCGGAGATGGAGTTTCACTCTTGTTGTCCAGGCTGGAGTACAATGGCATGATCTTGGCTCACTGCAACCTCCACCTCCTGGGCTCAAGTGATTCTCCTGCCTCAGCCTCCCAAGTACCTGGGATTACAGGCACCCACCATCACACCAGCTAATATTTTGTATTTTTAGTAGAGACAGGGTTTCATCATGTTGGCCAGGCTGGTCTCGAACTCCTGACCTCAGGTGATCCACCTGCCTCGGCCTCTCGTGCTGGGATTACAGGCGTGAGCCACCGTGCCCGGCCATACTATAAATTTTACTTATTTTTTATCTACTTCCACTGCCATCCCCATTAGAATATAGCTTCTTTTTTTTTTTTTGTTTTTGGAGACAGGGTCTCACTCTGTCACCCAGGCTGGAGTACAGTGGCAGGATCACAGTTCACTGCAACCTCAACCTCCTAGGCTCAAGCAATCCTCCCACCTCAGCCTCCCAACTAGCTGGGACCATAAGAGTGTGCCACCAAGCTTGCATATTTCTTAATTTTTTTTTAGTAGAGGAGTCTCCCCATCTTGCCCAGGCTGCTGGTTTCTAACTACTGGGCTCAAGCAATCCTCCTGCCTTGGTCTCCCAACATGATTAACAGCGTGAGCCACTGCAACTGGCCAGAATATAGCTTCTTGAAGGCAGAAATTTTTATCTCTTTTGTTCATCTTTCATCTCCAGCACTTAGAGTAAACTATACATGGTAGGCACTCAAGGTATGAGTCCTGTCCTCAAGGAGACGACCATGAACCTATGTTCTTCCCCCTTCTCTCTACAATCTTGTACCCTGTAACACTCCTTTTAACTTTGTAACACAAAGTTCAGAAAATGGCACTAAAATATATCCATTTACCCAAGGCCAACACTTAGAAATCCTAGACTCCTCACTCTCCTATACCTCTTTCCCTCCCACATTCAGCCTTGGAGCCAAGCATGCCCAAAACCCGGGATCCATTTGTCAAGTGCAGAATTTACAAACCACCACTTCTTCTTCCCTAGAATAAATTATTAAAAGGCTTGAACATTGCACTGGAAAACTGGTTAATTTTATAAATCATTAACACATACATACAGGCGTACCTTGGAGATACCATGAGTTCAGTTCCAGACCACCACAACAAAGTGAATATCACAAAAAAGAGAGTGACTGAACTTTTTGGTTTCTCAGTGTATATAAAAGTCATATTTTCATGATACTGTAGTCTATTAAGTATGCAATAGCAATATGTCACACACACACACACATGCACACCTTAATTAAAAAATACTTTATTGGCTGGGCATGGTGGCTCATGCCTGTAATCCTAGCATTTTGGGAGGGCGAGGCGGGAGGATCACTTGAGGTCAGGAGTTGGAGACCAGCCTGGCCAACATGGTGAAACCCCCATCTATACTAAAAATACAAAAATTAGCCAGGCATGGTGGCACACACCTGTACTCCCAGCTACTTGGGAGGCTGAGGAGGGAGAATCGCTTGAACCTGGGAGGCAGAGGGAGCCTTGAGCCAAGATCGCGCTGTTGCACTCCAGCCTGGGCGATAGAGCAAGAGTCTGCCTCGAAAAAATTAATAAATACTTTATTGCTAAAAAATGCTAAAGGTCACCTGAGCCTTCAGCAAGTCATTATCTTCTTGTTGGTAGAAGGTCTTGCATCAAGGCTGATGGCTGCTGACTGATCAGGGTGATAGTTGTTGAAGGTTGGGTGACCGTGGCAATTTCTAAAAATAAGCTAACAGTGAAGTTTGCTGCACTGATTTACTCTTTCTTTCGTGCTAGATTTCTCTATAGCCTGCAATGGTGTTTGACAGCATTTTGCCCACAGTAGAACTACTTTCAAAATGGGAGTCAATCCTCTCAAACCTTGCTGCTGCTTTATCAACTAAGTTTATGTAATATTCTAAATCCTTTGTTGTCATTTCAACAATGTTCATAAGCATTTTCACAAAGGGAAGATTCCATCTCAAGAAATAACTTTGTTCATCCCTGAGAAGCAATTTCTCATGTATTAATGTTTTTTGTTTGTTTGTCTTACTCTATCTCCCAGGCTAGAGTGTAGTGGCACAATCTCGGTTGTCACTTGTCTGCCAGTGGCTCACTGTAATCTCCACCTCCCCAGTTCAAGCCGCAACATCCAGCTAATTTTTGTATTTTTTGTAGAGGCGGAGTTTCACCATGTTAGCCAGGCTGGTCTCAAACTCCTGACCTCAGATGATCAGCCTCCCAAAGTGCTGGAATTACAGGTGTTAGCCACTGTGTCCTCCACTTTGCACTATCGAGTTATGCTAGGGAGACAGATTCTTTCCTTAAACCTATGAACCACCCTCTGCTGGCTTCAAAATTATCTTTTGCAGCTTTCTCACCCGTCTCAAACTTCATAAAATTCAAGAAAGTTAAGGCATTGCTCTAGATTAAGCTTTGGCTTCAGGGCATGTTATAGTTGGTTTGATCTTTTATCCAGACCACTAAAACTTTCTCCACCTCAGCAACAAGGCTGTTTTGCTTTCTAATCATTCATTTGTGGCCAGACACGGTGGCTCAAGCCTGCAATCCCAGCACTTTGGGAGGCCAAGGTGGGTGGATCACGAGGTCGAGATCGAGACCATCCTGGTCAACATGGTGAAACCCCGTCTCTACTAAAAACACACACACAAAAATTAGCTGGGCATGGTGGCGCGTGCCTGTAATCCCAGCTACTCAGGAGGCTGAGGTGGGAGAATTGCTTGAACCCAGGAGTCGGAGGTTGTGGTGAGCCGAGATCGCGCC